TGCACCCTGGGCAACGTATACTCATACGGCAAAAGTCTATCAAACCGGTAGTTGACTTCTCGCTTCAAACTACCATGACCCCACTCTATGTCATAATCGACCCTTTCACAGTACTCATCTTACCTTTTCTCTACCCTTGCGTCTGTCTGTCTGCCTCCTTTACATCTGTGAATCATTATCCCGTCCCCTCCTCCCCTCTGTGAAACCCGAAGCCAGCTAAAGGGCTAATGGTAACTATTCGAAGCCTGGCATTTGAGATAAATAAATTAAAAATACTGATCAAGTAACCCAGCTTTTTTCAATTGTATTGTCTTAAAAGTCAAAGTGCTTATAGCACCGAATTGGCATCATTTAATGCAACCTGAGTTTGTAGCTATTGGGGCTTGAAGTAGTCTTTACGTGTATTGTTTTGAATGAATCTGATGCAGTCTTAATGCCAGATCGATACAAACACCTTACTGCCTGCATCCACCTCCTTTCACAATGCTGCTGTTGTGGTTGATTTTGTCCGAAAAATCTCATCCCTAGTTGCTGATACAAAATATTTTGTCCTCACAATAATATTAATGACTGCTCTCCTCATAACGAGACTCGGTTAAGCACCAAATAGCATGCCAACCGGGCCTCCTAGTTGAAGGAATCAATAAGGTAGGCACCGTTTTTGACGGAGGTGAGTTGCTGGCATAATGCATAATAATGGATTTTAGGTCAAATAAGGATGTCTTCTGTGTCTAAAAAGTGGTGAAACGTGTTAGTTTCACCAAGCGAAGCTGGTCAAGCCGCATTGAAACTTATTTCTAAAATTTCACGATACTCTCCATTTACCATTCACTACCAATTAATCACTTCCAATAGAAATGCTTAGATTATGTTTGAAAAGTGACCTTGCCTATAAAATGTTTGATGGTGAGAGATACACACCAATAAGAATTTGAGTTGAATTCATTTTCCAGTAGTTAGTTGTGAGGGCATTTCACATTTCATGCGCACTCGTTCGGGCGAATTTCTAACCAGCGACTCAATCGAAAATGGTAAAAGGTAGACCTGCTTTAAATGCACTTATTTAATTATACTTTAAGGGGTCATTCAGAGGCATAGGGAGCCGAAAAAGATTGTGGTGATCGAGAAATACCAGCCGGATTCAAGAGTTGAGCGGGAAGACGAAATCCTCGCCCCGGAGAGCTTGAAATCGACGTCGGATTTGTTTCAGTTAAGAATCCTCATTCTCTCAGTTCTCGCACTCATTTTCGCCTTTGTTATTGTTCACGGTGATAAGCCGTTTCGAATTGCAAATTGTACAAATATCTCCTAGCCTCACTCTAGGGGCTGTAATTCAAAGTGACTTTCCATTGAATTGCAAATAAAATATCTCCAACTGCTTTAGTCGTTGGCTTCTTGTAATTGTGACGGTAATCGTGGTGAAAACGATGCAGTAGGCGCTTTATTTGGTGGTTGGAAGGACAAGGAATTCGTGCCCCTTATTCTGCCATCAAGGATATCCAATCAGCAATTGACACGATCTGGTAGCCCCGGTTGCAAATTTGATGTTACGAGGTACTAAAATGCTTTAACGAGAACCAAAAAATAAGGAAAATCCATTGTAGAATGGCACAGATGGAATGACTTACCTTAAGTCTATCTACACACGTAGATGGTGCAGAAAAAGTGAAATATGATTTTAGGCAACATCATCAGAATGATCTGATAATGCTCTATGTAAGATTATTCATATTCTAAGGTTTACACATTTAAAATGTGATTAATTATGATATTTTGATGCACTTAGTTACTTGACAATCGACAACCGGAAAGACATTCAAGCACAAAACGAGGCAAAAAATAATTTGATTTGTACCTTTTGATATCAATTAATTAATTACATTCATGAGAGCGTGGCGGTACGCATAAAGCACCGCTCAGATATTTGGCTATTTGTGTTCACCCGACTTTGGGTAGATTTGTTTAACAACTACTCATGTTTGCCGATATCGTGTAATTTGCAGAAAACATTTCTCTTCTCAACACGTTCTCCATCTCTCCACCCTCGCGGTAGCCTTTCCCACAAGGGGACAACTTTCCCGCGGGAATTTCTGAGTGACGTCGGGACTGATTGGTGTATCGAATCCGTCGCGACACATACTTTTGTGGGATACGTCATCGCATGCCTGCACGCTAGGATTGGGAGGTGCGGCCGTACAAACAGTGATCAATCATGAACCTCTGTTTGTTTAACTCATCCGCCATCTTGATAATGATTAGGATCCGCAACATACTTACTGAATAAACGTGCTCCGTGCTACACGTTTGTTTCCTTTATAGCTGGGCTATAGCTTAGTTGGTTCTGGTGATTTCTTTATAGCTGGGCTATAGCTTAGCTGGTTCTGGGAGATCCTTTCATAGCTGGGCTATAGCTTAGCTGGTTCTGGGAGTCTTTCATAGCTGGGCTATAGCTTAGCTGGTTCTGGGAGTCAGCCTATAGCTGGGCTATAGCTTAGCTTATTCTGGGAGTCTAGCGTAGCTGGGGTATAGCTTAGCTGGTTCTGGGAGTCTAGCTAGATGTGGGCTATAGCTTAGTTGGTTCTGGGAGTCTAGCTAGATGAGTTTCCCTTATAGCTAGGCTATAGCTTAGCTTGTTCTGGGAGTCTAGCTAGATGTTGGAAATCTTGCCATCGAGATTTCTGAGTCAGTCAGGCTTTACTAAGGTGTTTAGCTGGTTCTGGGAGTCTAGCTAGATGTAGGAGGATCTCCCATTGAGATTTCTGAGTCAGTCAGGCTTTACTAGCGTAGCCAGAGATTTCTGAGTTAGTCAGGCTTTACTAGAGTAGCAATATTTCTGAGTCAGTCAGGCTTTACTAGCGTAGCAATCCGTGGAGCTATAGCTTAGTTGGTTCTGGGAGTCTAGCTAGATGTAGGAGAATCTGCCATAGAGATATCTGAGTCAGTCAGGCTTTACTAACGTAGTAATCCGCTACACATTTCAAATTTGTAGAAATTTGTTTGCTTCATTTCAAATAAAAAACATAAACAATTTCTTACCATAAATTACGTATCTTTATTGCATATTTTAGCATCATTTACTTTTTTTATAACAGGAAAGACGCACAAATTTTCCCGTATTTAAGCGTCTTTGAAACTTCAACTAAAAAGCAGCAACTTTCAAATGGATTGCGATTCAAAAAATTCTGTAGAATTTTCGCCTTCATTTGGTAAAAATGCCAAAATGAATGCAAATTAACTGAATGGAGGAGATACATCGCTGATTAAAGATGGTAAAGCTTCATATGGCGAAAAATTGTGCATTTTATATGGTTATTTTCGAAATATTTATTTATTTATATCAAATGACAGGCCTTTGATAGTTATCATTAGCCCTTTGGTTGACTTCAGGCTTCACAGAGAGGAAGGAACATCAAAGTGACAAAAAGTTGAGAGGGGGGGGGGGAGGAACAGAAGAGCGTTTCAAAGGTGTAAAAGAGACGGACATAAAGGTAGAAAAAAGGTGAGGTGAGTACTGTGAAGGGGTCGAATATGACATGGAGTCAGATCATGATAGTTTGAAGTCAGAAGTCAACTGCCAGTTAATAGACTTTTTTGCCGTATGAGTATACGTTGCCCAGGCTGCCCCATGCGGAGGTAGGTCTATCACACATCCCATTTTCGAAATATAATGCTAAGAGGCCTAAAGGACAATGTTTCCTCAGTGGGAAAGCATTAAACCTTTATGTAATTTCGTTATCTCTTCAATCTTCTTTGTTTTATTGAAGTAAGTAGTATGGCGTTTGCCTAATTTATTAAGAAAATTTGGCATCCGCAAGCAAGCCAATGAATTTATTCCTTTAATCTAAACACTCCAACTACGATAGACTTACCTCCACGTGGTGCACCCTGGGTAACG